TTTGCAGAAAGGTTACAAGAGACCAAAATGATCTCATTGTACAAAGGACTCAAACAGGAGAAGAGCATCAAAATTTCCACGGCATTTCATGACAGTATTTACAGTCATCAATAACTGGAGAAAATATGGGACAACAGGGATAAAACTGATGAAAAGAAAAGATGGAAACTGGTCAGGGAAGCTGCCAATCGAAACACTTTTAGGAGCTGCAGGAATTTTCCAAATAGTGATTGCGTCCTAAATGTAGCAACCATCTCCACGGTTTCCCCTTTACAGCAGGACTAAGAAGCATGGCTCCAAGAAAAAAGCATCTTCTTCCTAAAGGTCTGGCTAAAGTTTGTGGAAAAACGCGCTATGGATTGACGACGTATTGACATCTTGATGCATTAGTGGATTTCACTCAGAGAAATCGAGACAAAAATCAAACTTGGCAAGTACTCCTAAGACTTTTCTTAGAATTTTAAAAATATCCGCGAACCACCGAAGGCCTTAAGAGAGACTCTAAAGTGACAAAATGTTTGGAGTATTGTGGACTTTTAATGAGGCTTATAGTGTTTTCAGCAGGCAAATGGTGGAAAGACAGACGGAAAGGAGAGGTGTTCTGTGTCAAATGGATATAACTATGCAAACAGCAGGCACCGCTCCTCTGTCCTGCTTGGTTTTTATGTCCTTTAATCCCCCACTTTATGATGGTCGTTTCGCCAGATCAAACAAATTTATGCAAGCGGCCAATCACAGTGAATTGCTGACAGCTGAGCATCTACGTTAATATCAAATAAATGACATAGCAAAACTACCAGCGTGGTGAGAAACTGTGATAACTCACAATAATGATGAGGATGTAAATAAGGTGGTATCAAACATGTTGATGCTGTGTGACAATTAATTCAGTTGTGTGGTGTCTTTGTTATCACACTCTTCTCTTAACCCAGTCTAGACTGTATGATTGGTCAATTTCTATCAATGGATTACTGGAGGGTGGGTGTGTATTTTTATTTTCTTTCATGTATCATCCACTCTCCAAAAACACAAAATCTTACCAAGTATATTTGGTCTAGTTTCTAATGCAAACATCTTAGCATACTCGAAATGAGACAAAACTAACTTATAAGTAAAATTTCAGAATGATACATGAGCCTTTTAAGTCAATAATTCCTAAATATTTAATGAAGGCAGACTATTTCACTTGTAATATGGGAAGAATGTCCTGTTATTAGTGAAATAATCTGTCAGTGGTGCTTGTACTTTATATCAATATTAAGGAATCATTTACTTAAATCAAGCTCATGTATCTTGCTGAAATATTACATGTATTTTATTTTTGTCTTACTTCTGTGAGACTGAGATTTTTTGTGCATATGTCCAAAATATCTGACAAATTTGAAGACCTTTTGCAGGGAAGCGTGAGCAAATACAGTCAAGTTAAGTTAAGACAGACTGCCATCAAAGAACAATGAAGACCGAAAGCAAACTAAATATTAGTTTAAGATGTGCAAACTTATGCAACAATTTTACTGCAACTTTCACATTTTTTAATACTTTTCCACTTATGTTTTTTTTTTTTTTTCCCCCAATCAAGTTGTACAAGATATGTGACATCTGAAGTAATGTTTTATGGTCTCAGGTTTTAAATTGGAAAAACCTCCAGGAGTTTGACATCCCCTAGAGTGATTGTGGCAGAAATAAAGGATCGGGCACCTTAATGATGACAAAAAGGGATTTTGTATCATCTTCCGAGTGCTCCAGGATGTGATCTGGATTGGAGAAAAAGGAGACGAGTTTGCACCGCAGTCACATTTCAAACAGGAGAGTTTTTAAGAGAAAATCTCCACTCACGAAGCAGAAGTCTCATGGTCTGGCAGATGGACACTCTGTAGTTTTCCCATGAATCATCTGAAGGGGGGAAGAAGACACACAGACGTCCCGTATAGATGCAGAATGCAGAATGAGCTGCACTTATCGCCCACTGACACTGATGGTGCTTTTGATCGTTGCGCTACGTGGCTGTGTTCTTACCATACTCGACACCTACGTGCAGTTTGATCTCCCCCAGATTCACCATGGAGGGCACCCTGAGAAAAGGCCAATCGTGAGACAAGCCAGCATGATAAAAGCGTGTTTCCGTGCTATTAGTGTGCAGAACTGCAGCCTCACAGGTCAGGGACGTGTGCGCCATCCAAAGGGGGCAGCATGCTCCCAGCTCCGAGAAGGCAGTGCTGCACGATCGCTAAGCTCTGCCACAACTCCTCCCTGTTAACGACACACCACATCACACTCCTTCCTCTGCAGTATGGGGCTAGAGGCACCACAATGGCTTTCCAACACTCTGGGCTGCTAAATTCAACTTTCCCTACTCTGCGTAGGGAAAGTTGATTCTTCTTCTTGATTAAGAAGTCAGGAAAGACAGCTAAAACATATGTATCGCCTTCTCTTTTGGTGTGAACAGACCTCATCCATCAGTAATGGAGGAGCACCGTCCTGTTTGTTTGGCTTGAACGTGTGCGTGTGACGGATTGCCTCTGCGGATCCGAAAGTGAGACAAACGACTGCGCACCTGGTCATTGGCTGAGCTCCAGACACGTGGCCTTTGATTCGCTGCAGCTGGGGATGCAGGAGCGACGACAGCAGCTGGAAAACAAAGTTTTCCTCCTCCTGGCACGGCACATGCCAACACACACCCAACGCTGCCACATCTCCGGCTCGGCCCCAGTCCTGCAGGAGGAGACCCACAGAGCTGCAGTGAGCTGTTGCCACTTTTTTCCACTGGAACAACTGGCAGGCGAATCAGCACAGCCAGTCGACCTCCAAACCACAGACCTGTGTCATGTACCAAAGTCTTAAATATTTAAAACAGATGCAACGGATACAAAGACAAGTCTAGAAGAAGAAAACAAATAACGCCACTAACTTTTCTACAAACTAGCAACTTTAATGAATAAGAAAATGAAAAACAGGCTTAGACAGAATTGAAAAATGATGCGATGCATTAGATGAACCTGGTTGAACCACAGCTACGTAACAGGTGGCAAGTGCATGAATAAATGTAAGAAAAATATTTGCAAGTTTAAAAAGAACAAAGGAGTCACTAATAATCTGAACAAATCTGTTCACCGTTCGTTCAAATCGTCTCATCTATGTGGGCATGTTAGCAGAACCCTTACTTCTCATCGAATCCAATCCTCCTTCATAAAATCACCAATAATAGGATATTTTTGGGTTCAGATGGCTTGATTTATATGATAAGCAGATAAAAGTTTTAATTTTCACTTGCAGATTAATATATGTTCATGCAGTCCTCCGATCTTACAATTTACTCAGTGAATCCAAACAACTAAACACATTCAAGAACAATCCAGGCCACCGCAACATTTTTAAGTCAACACAATTTTCTCCTTCTGGCTTCTTTTCCACTTATTTTCTCCCGCTTGAATCTCACTGTAACAGCATATTGTGTGGAGCAGTCTTCAAATCGTAAGGGAAGAGAATAAATGAACGTAAGATATAAAATGACGTGTCAGTTTATATCAGATACATCATCCAATCTGCTGATGATCCATCTTGTGTCAAGTAACTCGTCGATGTTTGGAAACCACTTTATTGGTGCTGAAATGCCTTTTCATGTCTGTCATTTTGTACGATCTGTGTTATTTTTCATTTTTGCGACAGGCTGTTAGAGAAGTGCCTAAAGATTCGATCCAAAATAGGTTGCTTTCTCTTCATACGCGAGCTGATCCACTGATCCATCACCTTAAACGAGCAAGACTTTCAAAGTCTTAATGAGTCGGAGTCATTAGTCAGAGTTGAACTGGTGTAAATGACAAAAACATTCCTTTCAAAGTATTCAACATGAAAGAATAAAAAGAAAAACAATCAGAGGGATCGACGAGTTGCTGATCAAATTACTTTCATATATTACAGGAAAGTCAAGTTTCTCAGAAGTGTAAATTCATGCCAACTTATGTTACACTGTCGGGTATCTGCTTTATTAATCTTTGAAAGATGGATCCAATGGATCTACATAGTACTCTAAAATCATTTCCTTATATATTTTTATATTGGAACCCAATTTAAACATATTAATTACTGAGTTTGAGCTGAAAATATGTGCAAATATGTGAGAATGCTATAAAAATGGAATTAAATAATGATGAGTGCGATTTTGTCTATTTCTTTTTTTTTTTTTTTTTTTTTTTTTTTTTTTGCAAAAGTTTCGGTGCGTCTTTACCCGGATGGGGAGGTCGGAATCGAAGCCCCCAGAGGTGCTGCGGTACTCGGTGGGATAGATGAGAGACAGCGAGCGGAGTGTGTGCTCCAGCAAGCTGCAAGCGAGTGTGTAGGCCTGCTTACAGCGAAGATGCACACACACGCGCAGGATGCGCTCCAGCTCCCCTTGGTATTTTAGCAGCTGTTCGCCATCCACACGGATTACCTAAATACAACACAAACGCACACACGTATAACCGAGAACATTCAATTCAGTGGAGAGCTGCGCCTTAAATTTTGAGGATCTTCGGTAAATCACAGCGTCTGGCTCACTCAGCCTTGCGTTGAGCTCCCAGGAGTAATAAAAAAAAAAACTTGAAAGAGTGTCAATATGTTCTGGTTAACGACAAAGCGCTCTGATATTTATGACCTTGAACGGAGCGCACTGTAAGAAATGTCTTTTGGCTGGTGTTTTTCCTCTTGTAATATCCTTACTATAATTCTGAAGCGACTGTTTTTCGTTTTTTTTTTTTTTTTTTTTGACCCAAAAAAATGCAAATTGGTGCCAAGCATCTGTTCTCCTGTCGTTTTGAGAATGAATACAAATTCCGGACATGGTGCAGATGACAATAAGTGATCGTCTGAGTGTTTTTTAAAGCTTTAAGGTGCTTCAGGAGTTTGTCCTCTCACCTCAGAGAGCAGCTGGAGATTCCACAGCAGCTCCTTATCCAGCTCATCTTCGTTCTGCAGCTCCACATCTATGCACAAACACATTAACCCACAGAAAGCTTTACTTACTCGCCTCAAATACTTTATTTCTTGTGCTTAATTTGGACCCATAATCTTGGGTTCAAAGTGTTGTATCACACTATTCCAGTTGAGATTTGACATAAACTCTCTGTGTCCCTTGAAAATGTGTTTGAATTAACAGCTTTCGCTTAAAACAAATCACATAAAAAATAAATAACACCTGTTAAGAGAGGCAAGACTACGAGTGTAAAAATGATTGTGGTTATGATTAGATCTGCCGTAGCACAGAGTACACCAGGCTGTCTTCGTGCATGGAAAATAACTTCTGATATTTTTTCTGGCTATGTCACCTAAGAGTTTAATATTCTTAAAATCTATTTACTTTGTAAACTACTCCTTTAGGGGAAGTGCTGAAGGCTTAGATGATGGCTAATTTTATAACTTTTTGAGGTTACGGTGATCAGAAATTTTGAAGTAGCAAGGGCTGAAGATTTGTCTTCGGCTTTCATGTATAATTGAAAGGACCTGCTGAATAAACCTATTCTTAGCTCATGTGAGGGCTCAAATAGCCTTGCGAGCAGCGTCACATCCTGTCTACACACAGATCTGTTCTACAATGTGTGGTACTGACTGTCAGTAATGAGCGAGATGATGCTGCAGCAGTGAGGGACGAACAGACGGAGAGACTCAGCAGGATGACACTGCAAACACACAAAAACATGCAAAAAAAAAAAAAAAAGCATCCAAACATACAAAAGCACACACAATTAGGCACACATTCATGAAGAAAAAAAAGAACAGAAGCAATGAAAATGAGCATAGCAAATGGAATGAAAATATTCTGAAACATGCATGGCCTCAGGAAGGTGTACTATTTAAAACTTCTTTTTGGTTTCTGTACAATAACACAAAGGCAATTTGCATCACATGTATAAACAAAACAAGACAAAGCCAATGTTACCTTTGCTGCAGCCCTGCACATGTCGGCCACCATTCTGCCTGACACACACGTCTCAAAGATGCTGGAGGTGGCAAAGTTGTACAGCTTCTGCAACGCAACCTGATCAAAATGCAGTGTAGTATAAAATCAGATGATGCACTTCATTTGTATTAACTGTCTGTGCAAATGTTGTCGTTTTGTTGTTGTTGTTTTTTTCAGTTTTTGGTGCAAGCAATCATTTTTTATTGCATCATTAATGCATTGAATTATTGTTATTAATTTAAACGGGCTTTTAACATTACTGAGGACAGAATGTTCAGTCTGTCTCGTAAATCTGCGTGATTTAGTGGTACAGGCAAAATTTTTATATTCTTTCCAAACTGTTACCATTACACAAGGATGACAAGACCCAGCTTAGCAGGTTAGGCCAATTTAGTTCAATCTTACTAAACAGTGGCTCTAATTACAAATGACAAAATTAAAGTTTTGCCTCTTTCACAGTCCTCCTGTGGTTAAGACAGAGGAAGTCTTAAAGTTGAGAATTGAAGAAAATCCACTTCCTAATGTTACAGTTATGACTGAACACGTATTAGTTTTAATATTCTTGACATAAAAATGCCAATATTTCCCATTTTCTATGCTTCTTGAGACAATTTGATCAATAAGCATTTTAGCTTAAAATACAAGACTAATTGCATTCTTGTTTATTCTTTTTGAGAATAATTATTTGTTTTTTTTATGACATTCAGTGTTTTTACACATTAAAATCCCATAATTTACTCAAATCTGATTTTTTTCCCCTCATAATTTCTTACAAAACAGTCTTTTGAGCATAAAACAATTACCATAAAGTTGCTTTTAAAGTTGTAACATTGTATATAACCTTACATATTCAAAAATATGTTGAAGAACATATTTTAAATGTAATGCTTTTTTTCTGCTTCTATGAATAAAATATGCTTTGATTGCCGACATGTAAACAATATATTAGTTTAAAATCTAAACGTGGATTGGCTTAAATCTCAAATAAGCACTGAAATCACCATTTTGAGATTGCATTCACCTTTTTATCAGTCAGTAAATCTAAAACCAAAATATAAATGGTTAGAAAAATATAAATTGATGTCAAAAGTGCAATGTTTTGTATTTTGATTTCTATGTTGTTGTTTTTTTTTTTCGTTTTGTTTGTTACAAAAAGGAAAAATGTTTTGAAAGTTTTCTCTCTTCCATACTTACCCAGACGTCGGCCTAAACCTTTTGCACAACCAGTTCGTTCTGGACTGAATTTATTGCTTGTGACTGTAAGCCTCCAATGGATGTTTGTGCAACTAATGTCTAATAAAAACCAGGCATAATAATTTGGAAAAAAACTGACAGAAAACTGCTTTTAGAGCACCTCTCAAAATGGTAGGGTGTCTGGGTTCATCCTTCACAACATCCGGTGTTGGCTGGTAAATTATGTAGAGTTTATACGACACATTTTACCACCTAAACTGAGTCTTTAATTTATTCATTTTGTATTGTCAAATCAAGCAAGAAGAACTCGCAAAACAACAGAAACTGAAATCTCATATTCATGAAAGATATCATCAGTCAAAGCAAGAAGCTTAGTTTCAAGAATCTGAACCCGAAAAAGACATTTTTAAAGGTCACGTCACACTGAAGGCTTGTTATCTTTGAGACATGTGTGTATCAGCGACGGAGTGTATTTCTGCACTACCTCATAGATTTCTGTGGAGCACTGTGTTAGGATCGTACTAACGGTGGAAGACAGTCCCAGCTCCACCAGGCTCTCCAAATGAGTCTGGGTATCCGTCTCCGTCTCGTCTCTCGTCTGCTCCAGAGTGCTGCTGTCTATGAGAGCAAAACATCTGTGCACGCACACACATACGCAAACACAAACTTAAAACACTCGTCTGTGATGAAAATGTCAACAACGATATGATTTAAAAAAAAAAAAAAAAAGAAGAAAAACAGACACACATACACACACACAAAAAGGCTTTTTTCACTCCAGAGGCAGGGAGTCTAGTGCATTTCAAACAGAGAGACACATCCGTATTCTGACGATGACAACAAAGCTCCACAGAGTGACAGGCTGACTTGCTAATTTATCTCTACCTGTCCAGAAACTGCAGCACGAAGTCTTCAAAGCCGGCTGAGGCAAAGCAGAGATCTTTTTCAATCTGCAGGGAAGAAATATAGGTAATGTGTTTCTGTAATATCTCTATGATTTGTTTTTCTACGGCTTAATTGAGGAAAAAAGCCGTTGGACTACTCGGGGAGATACATTTGACGGACGCGAGCCTCAAAGGGAAAGCTCTTGATCTGCAATGGTAATCATCTTTAGATAATTGCTACAAGAATAAAACTGTGATTACAAGAAATCTGAATTGCATTTTCGCTGCAGGCTTGCCAAGATGTCACTTTGAGATTGGGTGAGATTTCCAGAAAGACCCCCTGCCCCATCTATGCTGAGAGTCCCCTCCGTTCCCCTGGATGCCGTCTCAGAGGAGACCCGCTACGAGACCCTGCACAAGCTGGAGGGATTAAGCATCCCGGCCAACCGCGGCGATCGTCCCTTAAATATGAAAATAAGTGGTTCGGCACGAACGCTGGAAGCAGACCCACAATGCCGGTCCGTGTCCCCATGCTGGAGAAAAATGACCAACATGGTGTTTTCACGCTTTGATTTTTAGTGCCGACTGAGAAAAACAACAACAGATAAGCAGATAATTAGCGCAGTCTGGGGTGGATTTTGTCGTCTGTTGTTGTTTTTGCTGCGTTTAGTGTCAGATAGTCTGAAACGCTGTTTTTCCGGCTTTATGCTAAGCTGAGTTGACATCTGAATGTTTATGGTGGGAACATTAAAGTGATGCAAGTTTTTCTTCTAACTGTCAGAAAGACAGAAAGCACATACGCTAACTTATGTGTCAAATTACCCAACAAATAAAAAGGACGTAATGATGGGTGCTTTTGAAGCATCACTTTGTAAATACAGAGTTCAAATTTAATTTGTCTGTCCTACCTGTTAGAGACGTAAACGGATAATGACTTAAACAACGACAGAAGTACAACAACCTTGCAAATACTGCAACTACGTTTTGAATAATACGTTTAGTTTCAATCTTTATTTTTTACGTACATTAAGCTGGTTACACAACACTAATTCCGAACAAAATAATGGTGGAAAGCAAAGTTCTTTTTCTGCTTTCTGTCAAAGTGCAGCATGTTGGAGTAGCTTTATCTTTCAGAAGCTAAAGACAATGATTTGTCCGATTATTCTTCTGTCTCCAGGTAAAAATGTTCCAGTGCCCTTTTTAGTTACAACTCACTTGTTTAGATTTGAGACACTATGCTTTAAAGAAAACGTCTTGGCGCCCACGATGTACGGAGTCTTCACATTTGTATCTTAAAAGTCGGCACGGTTCTTGTCCTGTTTGTGTTTTATCTGCAGAGGTGTTTGACATCTGTTCTGGTTTTTACCTCGGTGAGATCCGTCTGTCGAAACGGAGCAGATGAGCAGTCCACTAAAGGCACCAAGGTGGTGAAGGTGGTGATGAACTGGAACGTTATCTGGACGGAGATCCACAACAGATCAATTTACATCATCTGACACGATCGCGGCGTGCGTTAAATAATGTGCCAGGTAAGATTTTTCAAATCTTTTCACTGGGTCTGCTGAGATGATTAATACAGCGTGGAGAAAACGGGAGGGAAGCAATCCATTTTACTATTCGAGCAGACAACCAAGACACATTAATTACAACTTCTTCAAACTGAGGTATTCATTCCACTTTCTGGACTAATTAATAGGACAGACCTGAGTATACAAGAAGGGAACTCAATCAGCGAGAGCTCTATTGTCATCCCGTCTCATAATTTTTCTTCATTACTTATCGGCACATTCATTACTCACCATGCACTTGCTGAAGTCGTTGGGGTCCACCCCCGGGAGAGAGCCCATGAGCAATGGGAGCACGTGAGCGCGGCCCTCTGGGTAGCGGTTGTCAGGGGAAACGAGGCTGCGCGCCATGCCGATCATGCAGCTGAGGGTGGCGGTGAGCGTGTGCGGCTCCGTCAGGGTCTCCATCGCCGCATAGGTCCTGTTTTTACACACACCGTTTAATTACTGCCTGCATTTCACAAAAGCCCCTTTCTTCGGTCAAGTCTCAAACACGCCTTCATTGATGCACTTTAAAAATTGCACAAAAGTGCAGACGGATCTCACTTTTCAAGTACAGGCGGTATGACGAGTTGTGGTGTGAGCAGAGCCAGGTTCTGGAGAGCATAGGCTGCATCTGTGCTGCCAGTTTTGCTGCAGATCACCAGGAGAGGGCAGAGGGAAACACAGCAGAGTTACAGCATGAACGATACACACACACACACACACACACACACACACACACACACACACACACACACACACACACACACACACACACACACACACACACACACAGGGAGACAGATAATCACTGATGAGCTGTCCTTGTCCAGATTAGGCGCATTGTGACTGAGGCCAAGTACACGCAATGACTCACTAATGAGACACCCTCTCAGATGACTGCATGTGTTTACTGGTTGTTTACCTGTTCATGCTCCAGTGACCTGCTCACGACATTAAAGCACAAGACATAAAAATAAAAATAAAAAAAAAATCGCTCTAATCTTTAAGTGTCGAGATTTGCAGATTCCAGGTACGAAAGGTTTGACCTACTAATCAGCAGTGAGCAGTTTTTGACATTTAAAAAGGAGAGGGTGCTGATTAGAGGAAATGGCTGGGATCGAATGTCTGAATCAAAGCTGTAGCAAAAAAAAAAAAAATCTGATCCCTGAATGTCGACCAAGAAGACCACCAACTGGCTCAGACAATGCAGCAGAGTGCTCACACCTCCTCCCTCAGAGACACCTACATCTCTATATGTATCTGCAGGAGCACAAATTTATTCTGTCACAATTCCCGCCTAAATCTGGCAAAGGCTGTTAGATTTTAAATGTCAGCGAACAAACTACGGTTCCGGTCACAAGTTTAAATACACTTGTTTATGAGAGCTTCAGTGGCACGTTTAAATTTATTCTGGGTTTCCTCTGATGTACACAGGTTCATAACTAAACATAGCTGCTCAAATATATTCATACACCCCCATTAATAACAAATGTTCATTTAGTAAATTGTGTGTTGTAAGATACAACACATTTTTTGTAGATGTCAACAAGGTCCGGACACACCGGTCACTGGATATTTGACTGGTGAATTTAACAATTCAAATTAATCTCTGTTCTTCTCAGAGATGAATTTGAATTGTTTGGTTTCTTTGAACAGACTTAACTTTTGAGCCTAGCCCATGCCTGGCACTAAATCTTATTCTTCTTCATCCATTTCCAAGCTATTTTTAATGTAGTTTAGGTTCCAACAATCAAGCTGCTGAATAACTATGCAATATGTCTCTGTCTTCATTATTCCACCAATGCATAAGTAACACTGGCATCAAACTGGGCCCGCAGGATGACAGAGACTCCTTGTAGCCAAATATCTTAAGCTTTGTCACATCTGACCATAAGACTTTTCTCCAGAAGACATTCGACATCTCCACTCTTCCAGCAGAAGAGAAACCAAACTGTAGTTATTATCTTTGGACCAAAAGAGTCAGGGCACAGCTTCAGTTATTACAGCTAGAAAATAGTGGTCGCGTCCAAAATCTGGGTTTAGTGATGGACTCAGATCTGGACCTTAAGAGACACATAAAGACAGTTACAAAGTCAGTCTTCTACCACTCATTCATGTATTTATCTTTAGTCGCATTGATTCCTGCAACAGTGTCTTCACAGGTTTGCCTGAAACAATAATCAAAGAGCTGCAACTGATCAAGAACACAGCTGCCGGTGTTCTGACTAAAACTAGGAAGTTGGAGCACATTGCCCCAGTTATAAAGTCCCTACACTGGCTCCCTGCAGCTCAGAGAATATACTTTAAAATACTTTTGTTAGTTTATAAATCACTGAATGGCTTAGCACCAAAATACATTCAAAACCTGTAGTTGTTGCATCAACCTTCCAGACCACTCAGGTCCTCTAGTTCAAGTCTGCTCCGAATCCCCAGAACCAGAACCAAACATGGAGAAGCAGCATTCAGTTTTAACACTCCACTGATCTGGAACAAACTTCCAGAAAACTAGAAAACATCTGAAACACTGAGTTCAGATTTCAGTTCAAATTTCCATACAATTGGGAAACTAGCCTCATGATTTTTGATGATGGCATTTGAGTAACTGTTATTGGTCGTTTCATTACTGGCTATGGTGAAAAGCACTTTGAATGTTGCAGAAATCTGCTACACAAATAAGCTTGACTTGACATGTGGGCAGCTGCAAATTTTAGTTGAGCTTAAAGGTGTCAATTTCGAAGCAGGAGGCTTATTTCTTGCCTCACCCCGACACTGCCGTTCCAGCAGTTTCCAGTTCGCTAGGTCACAACTTGTTCTTGATTATTTCCTCTCATCCGAGTGTGACAGTTTACCTCAGAGAGTTGAAACCGGGACACAATTGGGTGTTCCTACATGACAGTGATCATAAACACACATCGAAACTAATTTTGGAATGGAGAAAGCAGGCAAACATCAAGCTTCTGGATTGGCCCCAACATTAACACGAATGGAAATTCGTGGATGACGGTTAAAAGCAGAGTTTGTGGCTGGAAATGAACTCAATTCAACCATAAAAACTGGCCATCCAGCCAGAAATATACAGACGTTTTTTGATGGCTGGTGTGTCTATAAATTTCCACATGTAATTTATCCCTGTGTGTGAATCACAGAAAATTCTCAATAACATGAAATATGTGCACCAAGTTGCACTTTTCAGCGTATCTGCACGTTTCAGCGGGCCAAATTTAAGACTTAACACCTTTTTAATAGTAGCTTGAATGAAATTTAAGACATATAAACTATAAAGATGAGATGATTGGAGGATCCTGCTGGCTCATACAGGTTGGCAACAAAACCAACTTGTGATACATTTTCACTTACCCGTGGTAGACTCAAAAGAAGGTAGATAGCGAGGGTATATTTATTAGCAGCTACCGTATTTTCCGGACTATCGAGCGCACCTCACTATAAGCCGCACCCACAAAGTTTAAATTAAAAAAAAACTTGGATCGATAGCCTTCAACTTAAAAGCGGCATCATTGGAGATTGGAAACATTTCTCCGTCGCGCCTGCTGCTAGCATGTATGCTCTAAATGAAAATTAGCACTTTCTTCTTTGATTTCCAATTTTGACCTCCAATGATTCACTTCCTGCTAACGAGCCCCCTGGCGGTTGAAGAAAAATCCACAGAAAAGCCGCACCGGGTTATATGCCACGCTTTTTTCAAAGTGTGGGGAAAAAAGTAGCGCTTTATTATTTATTTAATATTTTAGCCGAAAAATACGGTAGTTTCCGACCGCCTTGATTCACAGAATACAATGAAGATGTCTGCATGCAACTTAAGCTTTTGCCTGACAGAAACAACAAAAACTACATACAAGATTGAATCGTCTTGCCACGACGAAATTTAAAACCTGTGATTATTGTATTTACATTTTTAATTTCAAATATTTTAAGGCCTTAATTTTAGATATACATGGATTTAGGACTTTTCAAGGATGCGCATCAACTGGCTTTAAAAATCGTCAAGGTTGTTTGCACCCGAGAATAAAACTATTCCAATAAATCGTTAAAAGCTCCGAAATAATATAACATTTATGGCCGTAAGAGGTGTACTTCTGAGAAATGCAGATTTAATTAACCGAATAAACTTTTATTAAACTGAAGTTCATCAGTAAAACTTTATTTATATCCCTTTGAGGTTTTTTAAACCTGTCGAAAAGATAACTAAATAAATACTAAAGCTGGTATAACAAAAGCCTCCTGAGTTTAAATTTCTGTGTGCAGGATGCATGTGTGGGTTTTATCCTGACACTCCAGTTTTTCTCCCAAATATCAAAAACATGTCTGTTAGGTTCATCTGCCTCTTTCATGCTGTGCAGCATGTCTCTAAGTTGCATTGTCATAGATTGGTGACCTCTCAAGGTTGTAGTCCGCCTCTGGCCTGAAGACTCCTAGCAATATGCACCAGCCAGGTTGTTGCCATTTATGTCCACGCCATAAACTTCTAAAGATGCACGGCGCCGTTTCCAGGCCCTGAGGGACTCGATGGCAGAAATCCAGAGTTCCAGAAGTGTTTTATTAGGAATGCCAAAGTGCATTTAAAAAAATGGTATGAAGTCATTTTGTGATTTGTTTTGGCTAATTGCTTCCAGATATATCTTGTACAATTAAAATATCATTGATTTCATTTCATCAATTTAAAAGGTGAAACGTCTATTACATAGATTCATTATAGATTAAAATCAAAGTGTTTACAGCTAATAAAACACCCCCCAAACTAGTTTTTTTTTTCAGAAATGTTGGAAAACTGTAAAGTATGTCCTTGTACTGTGCAGTACAGCACTAATTGGTCATAATTAGTCGAAGCTCCCTTTGCACAAATGACATACAGCATGAAGGCAATCAAACTCTTGCTTCACAAACCCCGCAAAATCATTGTTATCCCTGCTGCTTGTGCTCATTTTTCTAGAATACGTTTTCCTTCCACTAAACCTTCTGATAATATGCTTAGCTAAAACACTCCAGTTGATAACTTTTTAAGGATGACCTTCTGTAGCTCACTCTCCTTGGTGAGATATTGCAGACTGCTGGACAATTATCAGCTTAGAAGTATTTTTCGTTTTTGTGTGGGATATAACATTTCTGTGTCAAATATCCTTTTTTTATTGTAATATTGTGATTATTTGAAAAACTTATTCTTGGATTTTTATTAATCAATTATCATCAAATTAACGTGAAAAACATTGGTCTGTGTGTCATGACTCAGCATTATATTTGACTTTTACTTAAAATAAACTTTCAGATTTAGTGATTTGCTTATGCAGCTGATAAAGAGAGCGCAGTACCTGAACATGGCCAAGAGGGCGGCGCCAGTGAGGCTGCGGGTGAACTCTTGCAGGTCTGCATCTGTCAGTTTTTGACACTCGGGCACCGGAGTGATCCAGCTGGATCCAGCGTAGCGTTCCCGATGCACGCGGCGTACGACGCTAGCTGGCAGTCGCTGCAGCAGCCTCATCAGTCGAGACTAAAACAAATCACACATTTCTGTAATAAATACCTCAAGGATTAATTGATTCCTTCGTGCAAAACATGGATGTAAAAGTATACGAATGAGAGGACGAAGAAACTGACCTGCCAGCGACCGTGGTTGGAGGGGTGGAAGAAGGAGGCAATGCTGTTGAAGAGGCAGGTCAGTTCTTTCTGTGCAGGATTTCCTGGTCCGCCCTGCAGAAAAATGAGCATTGAAGGTTAATTAAGCAGCCGCAGTTCAATGTTTTGACACAATTTTTGTCAAAATCTTCACTAGTGTGTACCAGCAGTGCCGTGATCCATAAAACCAAGTATCCAATGTCGTAGGAGTTGATGAGGTATCTCGGCGCCACCATCTGACTGACCCCAACCGGAAGGTTTAAACTTCGCAAGATTCTGGTAAAGATCTGCACACACACACAAAACAACAGAGTTTCACCTTCCACTCACAGCGGCCCCCTGGTAAAACGCACTAACAGGAACACATGTATATCCACATAATTCTGCTAATGACTCACTGTGGGAATATAAGGAGTCCAGTCCACATAGCCGATGTTATCGTTGGCAAGCCGAGCAAACAGGTTCACTAGGTGCTACAAGACAACATCAGGAAAACAGTGACTGCCGAGTCTGTAGCAAAATTCCCAGAAGTGAAGTTTGCCATTTCAAGAATTAAATATAGCCCCTGAAAAATTGGAGAGATGCTCAAGAGGGAGAGGAGGACGTGTGCTCAGCCAGGCCGCCGAGGGCCTGGAGGCTGGATAAAGGCAGAGCGGAGGCACAAATGGAAAATCTTATCTGCACGCTGAGTGGAAACCAGCAACAACACTTCAATCATCGCAATCAGGGAACGTAGAAGCCGTGTCATTCCAAATTACTCCATCCATCTTTGGGAAAATGGAAAGCCGGTTGATCCCTTGCTCAATATATTTAAAACGTTTTAAAAATCCATTAGAGGTGAATTTTTTTGTTGCTTTCGTGATAACATAAATTTGCTCTGACATCAGAAATTCTCCTTCAAATCCACGGGAGCGCTGTGTCTTACTAAGGTTTTCATACTCCACATTTTGTCACACCACCACAACAAATTTCACAGTATCTTAGAAGAGGCAGAAGGAAAATGACATTTAGCTTTATTATTATTTATCTTGCAAAAGATATGTGGTCCATTTGAACTTAACCTTCTTTGCTCTGATACCCCTGAATAAAAATCCTGTGCACTAAATTGCATCAGCAAACCCATAAAGAACTGTTCAGAAAACATTGCACCCCACAAATATTGGTTCTTTTATGAAAGACTGGATGAGAAAAGCAATTGAAATAAAAAGCCATAAGATGTCCTGCTTGCAGTTTGATACAAGTGGATGATTGTGGTGGTCTAACATTAATACTGAGCTTTCTGGACTGGATGCTCCCCAATGAGCTGCTGCTGGAGGTTTCACACTCTAACATTGTGAGTGCAGCCAAAAACCTCCCAAAACATCCGGTCAGTAAAGCTCCTGCATCTGCAACAGTGAGGTACCAGCTAATTCTAAATGTTTAAATGTTAGCTTCACAGACGCGTACTGAGCGCTCCTCTTGAGATGCGCTTCCTGGCTGTAAAAGCACCGAACACCGCATGGTTCCCTTCCTCTGCAGTACAAGTTAATGCGGGAAAATGTTAATTAACGGACAGCTTAATCGGCTGCTAAGTATTGAAGCAAAGAAGAGCAACCTTCCGTTATTGGGCTGAACACAAATACATGCGACACTGATTTAACTTTGTAAAAATTTGGGGAATCTTGAAACCCTATCATGTCGTTCTACAATTTTGCACAACTTTCTGTTGAAAGTGTGTTATTATTTTTTTTTTGATAAAATAAAAAAAAGAGTTCAGAGCTTTCTGTGTGTGTGTGTGTGTGTGTGTGTGTGTGTGTGTGTGTGTGTGTGTGTGTGTGTGTGTGTGTATGTAAAAGATCTGAATCAACCTGAAGCTCTGCGAGTGTGTACTCACCCCTTCCCAGCTCGGCTGATTTTGCACCGACATCCACAGATTCATTAACTCATCAAACCACAACCTAAAAAAACACAAACACACACTCAGAGAAATAACTTTTCAGATTAAAACTTAATGAGATACACCTGAGGCTGAATTCCCCTCATTTATCTGCAATTTCCCCTAAACATGAACTCATTTTCTCCTCTGTGTATTCTGGAGGAGGGAGAGCAACAAAATGAAAATGGAAAAAAAAGAAAAGAAAGAGAGCATTAAAGATGATGTATTGTGGAAACTGTGCAGAAACTGCTTATGGATCCAAGAGTAAATCCAGACAAATCGCTTACAAAAAAACCCCCAAAAACCTGTGGAACGCACTGAGAAGCCTTGAAGAGGCTTGACAGCTGGAATACAACCACGAGAGCAGAATGAAGGATAGGGGCAGCGTTTTTTTTTTTTTTTTCCATAAAAAGCAACATATTAGCAAAACAAAAACCGTTTCAATTTCAACTGCACAGGTTTAAATCCTTTCACAGCCTGATAATGCGGTTGCTAATGTGCTGCATTTTAAAGCAACTCAGAAGCTTCATTTTTCAGTTTCTGCAGGCAGATCTCTTGGTAAACTTTTGAAACCCTGCGAGCTAACTCTGGCTCGGGACACTCAGTCCTCAGCGTGTGATTGCGCTTCCAAACAGAACCATTCCGGCCGGTCCGACTCACTGGAAGCCCTGGCTGTGTTCCTGCGGGGGCATGATGGTGGGCAGAAACAGCTCCATGTTGCTGATTGCCTTCTGCATGACCACGTCAAACACGCACAGCAGGGGGCGCCACTCATCCAGCATCTCCTTGGTTGAGGATGCTGGGAAATACCTGGGAGCAAAAATAAAAAAAAACACATACATATTTATTTAATAACAACAGAGAAACTCCGGTAAGCACACACGCACAGAACAAATAAAGGCTGGGGCCATAAATAGATGCGAACGAGCAAAGATACGAGTAAACACATTGATCTGGAGGACACAGCTCAAGTAAAGATCAAAGGAAAACATTCTTTGCTTTCACAGATTATATGATCAGAGAGAGGATGAGACTTACAGTCTGCAGCTTTTGATCAAAGCCTTCAATATGTGGTCCACTGAGCTGTAAGCAAGCAAAGAGATGGATGAGCATGTGTTCTTCCTCTTATGTCGCACTAAAAAAAAAAAAAAAACTTGTGCAAAAACTACAGAATATTCAGAATTTGAATTCATAAAAATTCTCAAGTCCTTTTAGAAATGTCTCTATCACCTTTGGGTCCACGTTTTTATGTGGCCCTCCAGTCTCCAGAGGGACACAAGAATAAAGCCTTCAAGAAAACAGTTTTACGCATACATACTATTTAATCAATCAAATCAACATTTACCGCCAAATTACGTTAATCAGTCCCTCCACTCTTTTGCAAGTGCAGAAATTACAACAAAATGAACAGACCTCTGCATTTTTTTCGCGCTGATGCACAACTGTAAGTTCGTTCCAAATTTTCCGCAAAAACAGTCAAAACAATCAAGTTAAAGTGACGGCTAACTCCCACCTGTAGGTGGCAGTATTTCATACTCAACCTTATTGTAGGTCATGATCAAAATGGCAATATACGAAAAGTCACATTACAGAAGAACAAATATTGCTAAAATTCTTACAAATGTTTCTAAATGAGTGATTTTGATTCCAAACAAATTGCTAAAACCAAAATGTTAAATAATATTTAATTTTAAGAAGTACTTATCAAATGCAGACACAGCTGTTTAACATGAGGGGTTTTGTGTGTATGTTATACATTGTGGCACAGCCAGCCCTTTGAGGACATTCATGATCTAGATGTGAATGTTCAAGGTGAAAATGAGCTCGACTCCCCTGATCTAGATCTAAAAGTTTTGAACATCCTTCTATGACGGTAGATCTAGATCAGTTAGACCAGATGGCGAGTCTGCAGGTAATTTTGCTGTCACTTCAATACGACTTTAAAATTAGTTTCGTTCTATTGCACACAGGCCGGATTTATCAGATGCATGACCAATACTTATCCATTTTGGATTTCAGTGGGGTTTTTTTTATTATTCTTTAAAAAAAAATTCTATAATAACTATATTGTAATTTGGTTTTTATTATTGTTGAGTTATTTATCATTTTAGCTGTTTTTCTTTTCTGTATTTGTTTCACTACTTAGTATGAATGTCCACTGTGTTTTCATGTCTGTCCACTTCTCTTTAACCTCTGTAAAGCACTTGTGTTACACTCGTCTGTATGAAAGTGCTCTACAACATGTTGATAAATCACCATTTATCTAACTTTATTGCACTAATTTTTTTGAAACACAAGAGATTTGAAAAACAAAAAACAAAACAAAAAAACTAGTGTATATTTGGGTGGTTTGCAGCAGTGAGAGACCGATACGATGCGAAGGTAAAGGCGCATACTTTGGGAACCAGACGAGACCCAGGTGCTCCGTTTTGGAGTAGATGAGTCTCTCGTACAGCTCGTAGAGGGGCCTCCATGGTAGCTGAAGGTCATCTCTTGACAGCAACTCCTTCTTCCTGTTTGGAAAAAACAAGTCAGACCTCAGCTGGCCCGCCTGCGTGCAAACGCTGGTGGGTTCTCAGATATTTAAAGCTGTGAAAAGCCTCCTGTTTGTGAAAATGTTGCGACGAGGTGGGACGCTACAGGGTGTCTGTCAGGGGAGAGTGAGTCATCCTTTCACAATCACCGCGGCTGCCAACTTAGGAACACGTCCACCAACATGATGCGGTGATTCTATGAAGCCATTAAAGCATAACTGGACAGACAGCTGCAGGCTTTAGCAGCTTCACAGGAGAGGTCTGGAATAATCCGCCTGTTAGTGGTTTCAAAAAAATGAGGCACGTTTAAAACCTTAATGTAAAGTAACATTATCCTTTTCTCTGTTCCTTTTAGTTCCTCAAACGCCCACTTAAGGTTTTAGATTTCCCACAAAATTATGCTTCTCTGCTCAGCACCTCAGAAGCTTTTAAAATGATTTCTTTTAAATCCCCCTGAGAACTTCCACGCTTTCTTCACACTAAGTTACAGTTCTTCATTAAGTCACCGATTTTAAAGGATTACACCTAACAGACGCATGCCAAATCCCTTCACTTGAGAATGTGCACAGTTTTTATGAACAGAAAGTCCTTTTGTTCTTATTTATCTATCGGTGAAGGAACAGGCTCTCGCTGGGGAGATTTCAAGAGGAGACAATCTGCAAAGTTGGCCGTGAAATCCTAAAGCGCAATACGAAGAGAGTCTGCAGACCTAATGTTCGCTGTTAAGGATCAAGTTCAGCACTTGGCTGCGAGAACTGAAGCTTGATACTCCGTTATCCCAGATCTTTCTCTTTTCATCTAAAACAAAGACATCTGACGTCAACGTAAAGACCTTGTTTTGTGATGGATGCAGAAATCATAGAAACGCACTTGAAGACTAATAGCAAGTGATGAATGCCTCGGAAACTATTTGCGTGTCACTGGGGGAACGACGGATCTGATCCAGGAGACAAAAACCAGGAGAAACACAAACAGGCCGGAGCCTAAAGAGTGATAAATTTACTGTAGAGCCAAGATTCCTCGCTCACAACGAATGCTTCTGAGTGTGAGGATATGTATTTTAGCTCGCTAACATATCGCCTACTCGCTGCACATTTTACTCCTTCGGTTGCTGCAGAGTGTAAAAAAAGCTGTCCAGATTTGTCACTGGAGGCACGTTCCTTCTAACTGTGACTTTGTTCTGATTTCTATTTGAGACACAGTGAAATATAATTTTCCCAAGTTTTAACCACAAAAACCAAAAGCTCCACTCATTAATCATGACTTGATCCACAAGATTTATTTTATGATCCTCCAGAGGAGCTGCTCGTGAAACGGACTTACCTACATCATTATGAACTAACCACCACTGTAACCGCTCTGAACAGCTACAGCGCCTTGCAAAACTATTCACATCCCTTAAACTTTTTACCATTTGGCACATTATAGACACAAACTTCTATGTATTTGACTGAGATTGTAATAAAGTAGTGCCAAATTCTTCAGTGGAACGATCTCTCAAGGTCTTTATATGTTTTACAAACTAAATCTTGTAATTTGTAAATATGAATGTTACCTAATTTCAGTAATAAATGCTTCTGTGAAGGTTTCAGAGGTTTGTCACAAAACATTAATGAACAAACGGCATCACGAAGACCAAGGAACACAGAGACAGCAAAAAGATGTACGCTAACTCTGGAGGAGCTGCAGCAATACGTGACTCAGGCGGAAAAATCTATCAGTTTATCAGAGCTAATGAGAAGATTAATTGAACTAATTCCAAGACAAGACGGGAAGAAAACCTGTTAGATGCTGCAAACACTCAGAACTGGGTGAAATGGAATGATTTAGATCGAAACGTTTTCGTGTGTTTTAATGGTCTAGTCAAAGTCTAAATCTAATAGAAAATGAGAAGAAAAATGGGAAAACAATTCCCAGTTTGTAGATGTGCAAAGCTGGAAGAGACTCTACCACATATTGACTAATTAGGGCAGCATACAATGCAAATGCACATAACATTTTGATAACTTTGTATAATTTCACTTCTCTTTTCACAAATGTGCTTTAGTAAGAGTTGATCAATAAGATAAGATCCAAATAAAATAAACTGTTGGTTAGGGTGTAATCTCACTAAGTAGAACTGTTCAATTAACCTAAACTTGTAAAGTCAAATAATTTATTACACAATCATGCACTTGAATTTTACAAAAATGTTCTGTAGGTGAATTGCAAAGGCAAGACTTGTCTGCATATTGCACTGATGTTTAGGATCAGCACCATACAAAAAAAGTTTCTGCACACATATATATGTTTGTTTGTTTTGTTTTTTTCAAACTCTGCAAGTAAACTTTGTGAGTAAAGACATTACAAAACCACAAGAGACTCATTACCAGTCATCTCAAAATTAAAATAAAGTGAAAATATATTGAATGAATCTATAATTAATGCTCAATATTAACTACGTGAAAAGAATTTGTTCAGTAATGCGGGTATGACAAATCACAGATTTCATGTCTGGGGCCCCGGAATATTAACACAATTTATCAACCAGTGTGTATACTTCAATAGAGGTGTTTTTGTGACTTATTGCTTTTTAAGCGCTACAGTGTAACTCTTTATCAAATCCTTGTGATTTTATTGATTAGGATCCAGGTTGAACGTCTCTCTAAGTCTCTCTAACTGCGCTGCTTTTGTGCGGATGTCCTCGCTCTGAATGCACCTTACAGAGCATTTATTGATCCTTCTTTCTCAACTCTCCAAATTGCTTAAAGCAACAACTGGATGGCCTCCAAATGGCACAGGAGCAGGAAAGAAATCCACTTTAACGCGTCATGTGATAACCGGCGGTACACCACTATTAGCACAGTGATATTTACAAACAGGGCTGCTCTCTGATCTCATTAAAGCAACAGGAAGGCTAAAGGGAGAGGCTCTTCCTAGAAAGTTCAGTTTACTAGGGTCAAACTGTCTTGTGTTTTAGCAGAGCTTGCACTTATTTTGCTGTTGCACTGATGGTTCAATAAAGCTACAACTCCTCTTCAAGCAACCCCAAGGCCCTTTCAGCCCAACAGAGAAGCATTGTATAATACATGTGCATGCTTTGTTTCCACACCCACTTGAGAAGCTGAATGAGCAGTCTGGCATAGCTGCACATCATGTGGGGCTCCAGGTTCGGTAGCGTGACCAACTCATAGAGTAGATTGATGAAGAGAATGTGATCCTCTTTGCTGAACCTCCGGCCATAGAACTTCAGAAATCTGGATGGGGGAAGAGACAGCGGTCAGAGAGCAGCTGGTCACTTCCTGTTTAATGCAGCTGACAGGCATTAAACAAGGTCAGCTGCAGAAAGAGCTGAAACAATACATGATCCCTCCTTTAAAAGCTCTGACAAAATGATACTCTGCAGCACAACAAGACATAAACTGTCCCAATGACGTCAAATAACATGAATGGTTAATCCGTCTAATAATAATACATCAATGCATAATATTTAAATTATATCTTACAGCAAAGACATAAATAATTTACTTATATCTCAATATGGCACTTTTGAACCTCCATACACATATATGTTAAAATCAAATGTTATTATTCCAGTACTTCATCAAATATTTTACAGTTTATTTACAGCGGGAAACAATGGAATAATTATGACTGTTACTGTGACTCAACCATGCTGATTGGATAACCAGCATGGCAAGTGAACTTCAGACCAAAACCAGTGTTTGCAATTTCATATTAATTAATTGCATATCTGTGTAATTGAATATGAATAAGTAAGTTATTACCTGTTTATATTAACTGTTGACATTTGTCTTAATTTAATTATCAATGTCTGTTGAATTTAGGCACTTTCAAACTTCCATAGAATGGCCATAGAATGAATGAGCAAGACTGAGGAACAAAAACATTTGTGATGTTCTACGTCACGTGATCATAAAATAGTTCAAATCTGAGCAGTGTTTACAATTTTATATAAATTAATTACACATTTGTTTAATTGAATATTTAATAAGCTGCTTATTAATTTGTTTTACCAGCTTATATATATATTTTTATATTAATGTAACAATTTGAACTGTGGCATTTTGAATCTCTGTAGAATAACTTTGATGGTAACGTTGACAGAAAAAATAAATCCATGATTTTCTTAATGAGGTATTTAATTTTTTACTAATTTAATAATACTTTTTCACACAATAATTCATAATTTAATTATTTATGTTAATTTAATTGTGGCCTTTTGGACTTCCACTGTATTACATTGATGGGTAAAGTTGATGTGCAGCAGTACCTGACCATGAAATTGTTATTTTTTCAGTAAATAAAACAAATGGCATACTCGAATAATTCAATTTTTACATATTCATTCATGATTTTTTTTTATTATTATTTTAATTAATTCATGACACAATACAGCTGTCTTTAATCGGCTATTTATTAAATTGTGGCACTTCTGGACTTCTATACAACTGAATCGCACCACGGGTATTTACCAAAAGTTTTAAGTTGTAAAGAATTGCCGGTTACTAATCATGGTTTTAGTTCTCCAAAACAAGCCATCTTTGCATGGACACTTACGAGAAGAGTTTCCTGGACCAGAAGGCGACTCCGGGCCACAGCTCCCTGAGGAGAACCGCCCTGCTCAGGTTGGCTTTGATCTCCGCCAGCAGCTCCGCGGCCTCCCGGTCCAAGCGGTCACAGTAAGGCAACATACCGTTATAAACAATCTCCTTCTGGGGAATAAACCCCTCCACACCCCCGTCCACAGTCATGTCCCACCGTGGCTCGGGTCGCTGTAGTGTTGGCTCTTGAAGGGGCTCTTAAGGAAAATCGCGCGTCTGGTTAATGTCGCACCTTCTGGAAAGAGCGCGGCAGAAGTTAGAGGGCATAATCCGCTGTGTCCAGCAGCCCGGAGGAAAGTATGTCACGCTAATTGAGCTGGCCAAAGCCCTGAGCTGGGCCTGTTTCTCTCAGTTATGCAGTGTCAGACCGCGGTGTCACCTCTCTCACCCCATATCACACACATCCGCGCTGAAACAGCCGAACACCAACGGGGTCGAAGGGGTCGCTTCTCACCACCAGGGGTCCATGGGAATATGACTCTTTCCCTTTTTTTTTTTTTTTTTTTAAAGTTTGCCATACTCTCAAAGACAAGCTTTGATGTCTGAGCTGCCTAGACCAATTATAAGGTGGGGTCTTTGATATAAGAAGCGTTTAATGTTTAGCCATGGGCGTAAATGTTTAATTCTACTGTAGAGGGCACTGACGATGAGCAAGGTGGTGCCTATCACTCTATAGTAGAAAAAAAAAAATCACAGGTTGATCTTTCAATTTAAAAAATTAAAATTAAAATAACCCTGCCATCATTTACAGTTAAATCCAAAATCATTTGTATCTTTGGTTGATTTAGATTTAAATTATACAGGGCATATTTATGATCCTTGGGTGTCTAGAGTTTTGGTTGGTTTACATCTGTGTTTTTCTATTATTCCTCTCCAGATCATTTACTTTTAAAAAGTTATATCAATTCCTTTCTTTCTTTAGTTTATTCTTTTGTTTTATTTGTACTTTTGGATTTTGTTCTCCTTAATGATCAGTGTTATTCTTTTCCACCTCTGCTTAGTATTCACCTTCCCTTAGCGTGCTATTTTGTTCCCGTTCACAGCTGTTCCCAATAACCCGATTTCCTCACCTGCATCAAATGTCATCCTCCACTCTTTTTTTCCGTGTATATACAGTATAGCTGGTTCCTTTTTCTTGCCTGCTTCCTGCCAGCATTCCACATCTTGTTATCCTGGGACTCCCTTTGAAAGTTTTACGTCTTGTTATTAAAAACTCTTCTCTTCACCTCCTGCCTCCTGTCATACCTGCCTTTGGATCCAACTAAAACACAACTTCACAGAAATTATACTGACTTCTTGCAAAAGATTAAAAAAAAAAAAAACGTAAAAGGAGCAAATAAAGATATATGTCTATGTTAACTTTTTTTTTTTTTTCAAAATGGGATGCTGGGCATTATTAATACGCATGATATTTAAAAAAATGTGAAAAAAAAATCTTTATTGGCATTACACCAATCAAACCCTTCAAAGTATTACTTACAAGCTTTACGAATGTTCACAATTTATCTCTGGTGCAGATTTCCAGATCTTTGAGGTCTGAAGGCCTCTTCATCATCCGCTAATCTTTAGCTCAGATTCAAGTCAAACAAATATGGAAAGCACAAATTTTAGGATCACCGTAAAATATATGTTCTGTTAAAGATCTGCTTTTATTACATAGTTATCAGCTAAGTTCTGATTCACTGGTGTTTGAGGAAATATGGTACATGGCTTTTGTACTCAGAAGTCAAAATTTCCATGCTCCAAGTCGTAAAAATCCGCTGGAATTTCCCCCGTCAGGTGGGAATTCTGACTCTGACAGTGGCCAGCTATATGCATTAAAAAACTGAGCAAAGGTTGTGGTAATAAACTGAGTGTTTTACACTTTTGTTTTGTTTTCTTAAACAGATACTACTGGAAAACATCTGTGCTTGCAAATCTGTGAATACTCCTTCAACTTTTCATATTTTGAGGGTTACAATCAGAAACTTCAATGTATTTTACCTGGATTTTATGTTTAGTAGCAAAGTGAAACAAAAATGACACATGGTTGCATTTTTTTTTTTTTTTTTTTTAAAAAAAAAATCTGAAAAGGGGGGGATTTTTCTTATTTTTTTGTTTTCTTCCC